AGTCGCAAGGCCGAACAGGGTATAGGGTCACAACCTGTTCTGGATGGGGTCACACTCCCCTTGAAGGCACAGGTCCGTAGCTTGGGAGTTCTCCTGGATTCATCATTGAGCCTGGAATCCCAGGTTGCAGCGGTGGCCAAGGGAGCATTCGCACAATTAAAACTTGTGCACCAGCTGCGCCTGTACCTTGGAAAGTCATACTTGGCCACGGTGGTCCATGCTCTCATTACATCTAGGATAGACTACTGCAAAGCACTCTACATGGGGTTGTCTTTGAAGACTGTTCGGAAGATTCAGATAGTCCAACAAGAGGCAGCCAGGTTAATAATTGGGGCGGCATACAGGGAGGATACAGCTCCCATGTTACGCCAGCTCCACTGGCTGCCTATTTGCTACCGAGCACAATTCAAAGTGCTGGCTTTGGCCTTTAAAGCCCTATATGGCCCCTGCCCAAATTACCTGTCCGAATGCATCTCTCCCTATGAACCATCACAGCGAGTAAGATCCTCTGGGGAGGCCCTGCTTTTCATCCCGCCATTCTCACAGGCACGATTGGTGGGGACAAGAGACAGGGCCTTCTCTTTGATTGCTCCCTGGCTATGGAACTCCTTTCCTGGTGAGATCAGGTCGGCCCATTCTCTCCTGTCCTTTAGAAGGATAGTAAAGCCTTGGCTGTGGGACCATGCTTTCAGGACAGGGCAATAAAGAGGCAATAGGAAAGATTACCAGGCCAATTAGATTTGATGTGGATAACTAGGACAGTTTTAAATGGTGTATTTTAATATTTTGATAAATGTTTTTAATGTTTTAATGTATGTATATAAGAATTTGTGTCCGGCATTGAATGTTTGCCGTATATATACCATGCTCCGCCCTGAGTCCTCTTTGGGGTGAGAAGGGTGGAATATAAATGTTTTAAATAAATAAAAAAACTGATGCATTTTCATGGTGTTTGGCAGAAATATGCTGCCAATCTTGTAATGTTATGCTTTCATTGCTCAAACGTTGAATACCAAAGTAGCACAATGGATGTGGATAAATGATCAATGCTCAAGGCTGATCTCCTAATGTACATTGGCAATGTGCAAAAGCAATGAGCACTGTTCAGAGGGAAGGCAAATTTGCCTGCAATGGTGGGACAAACGTGAATATGGTTGTGATCACAGCACTTTATGGGTCAAAGGCAATGGCATATGCCTTGGCGAAGCGATCCGGTACTGGAGTGTTGCGATACTGAAATAGTGCAGACTAGTGGAGACGTGAACAGCCAGAGACATGTTAGACTACCCCATGAAAATATGTATCAATATACATGAATAAAGCAATGCAACTGAATGCAAACATTACAGTAAAATGAATTAAAAATGTCTAGTGTGGACCATCACAAGTCATGCTGATGGAGGTTTGCAGATCTCTTCTGGACAAGCTGCCCTGCAAGCATTTCACCTCGACTTTAGGACTTTCTGGGCTATCTCTGACTGCTAAATTGCAGCAAAAATAGAATAAATAGAGAGCAAAGTTCAGTTACAAACAAAAGAACATGCAGAACCTGGAACAGAATTCTGAGTTAATTTATTCACTGATCAATGTAAGCACCATACCTTAACTCTTTAATAACCTATACCCTGTTCTTTAGGGCTTTAGCACAGCTGGTAAATCACCAGAAATGATAATATCTACCAGCTGAAAGGTTGCCAGTTCAAAGCCCCGGGTTGGTGTGAGCTGCCAACTGTCAGCCCAGCTTACTGTTGACCTAAGCAGTTCAAAAACAGCTTGAGCTATAATTAGAAAAATTAGGCACTGCTAAAACAAGCGGTGGAGATATTTTATGACATCATAAAGAAAAAAGATCAGAAAATGTCTGGTGACCAAAAGAAGGAGGAAGTCCTGATGGCTCTTCGTCATAGAGGATGGAGCAACAGTACCCCACTGTGACTGGATTCGAGCAAAAACCTTCCAAGGTGCCCTCCAAAAAGTTGGATGTCGACACAACCCACCTCCTTTCTGTTCTATCTGTCTCTGTATTGTCTATCCAAAATTGCATTGAATGTTTGCTGTGTATGTGTACTGTGATCTGCCCTGAGTCCCCTTGGAAATAACAGGCAGAATACAAATAAAATGTTGTTGTTGTTGTTAATAATAATAATAATAATAATAATAATAATAATAACATCTAGTAGAATTGTTGCAGCAATATGTCTGAATGCAAATATTACAGAGATAGCAAAATGACTGAGAAATGTCCACTGTGGACTGTTGCAAGTCATAATAGTGGAGATGAGTTGACCTCTCAAGTATAACACAGATTGCTAAGAAGAGTTAGTCATGAAGAATCTGCATGAATATTAGGTGGGGACCCAATTGTGAAAGATGTGGACAGCTGTTGGGGTGGAGATTACTGCCCCTTCCTTCTGCCTTTGCTAATCAGCTATTTCAAAAGTGAAAAAATCTTGTCCACTTCTGGCTCAGCTCAAACAATGATTTGCAGTAGTTTTAGCATTCAGTGCTTCTCATAATGGTTTCAGTGCTGGATGATGAGTCTGTAGACCAGAGTTCAAATTCCCAATTGGGTGACCTTGAGCAAGTCACATTCTCTCAGCCCTAGAAAGCCCTCTAATAGGGTCAACATAAGTGAGAAATGACTTGTAGGCTGTGAGTTTTCGGGGCTGTATGGCCATGTTTCAGAAACATTCCCTCCTGACATTCCACCCAAATCTGGCAGGCAGAGGTATTGGGGTCTGTTGGAAACTAGGCAAGCGGGGTTTATATATCTGTGGAATATTCAGGGTGGGAGAAAGAACTCTTGCCTGCTTGAGGCAGGTGTGAATGTTGCAAATGGCCACCTTGATTCGCATTTAATGGTCTTGCAGCTTCAATGCTTGGCTGGTTGATGCCTGGGGGAATCCTTTGTTAGGAGGTGTTAGCTGGCCCTGAAAGATTCTTGTCTGGCATTCCCCTGCTTTTTGGGTGTTGCTCTTTATTTTTTAAAATAATCTTTATTTGAGATTTTCATTAAAAAGCAATAGAAACGAAAATAATAATAGTGATAGTGTACCAATTGGGTAAAATAACAAAATGAGAAGAAGAGAGAGAAAAACAGAGACCCAGACCTGTGTATAGAAAGTACCCAAGATTCAAAGATAAAGGCAAGAAAAAGAAAAGAAAAGAAAGATTTTTTTAAAAAAAATAGATATTTTGACTTCCTGGTATCTTCTGAGGGTCTTCTTACTTTTTCCCTCCTTCTCCTCCTCTCCTTCTCCTTCCTTCCCATTTCTTTCCCATCTTCTTCCTTCCTTCTTTTCCCCCTCTTTTTTTTATCTTTCTCCTTATTTTCTCCAATTATTAGATCAAAATCATCTTCTTTTTTTGTTTCAGATATTCAGGAACTTTTCTCCAATCCATTTCTTCCATTTTTAGTACTTTATTCTTCGACATGAGGAAAGCAAGTCTATCCATGTTTTTGATCTCTAGTATTTTTGTCAGCCATTCTTCTTCCTCTGTTATTTCTTCTTGTTTCCATCTTTTCGCGAAACAAATTCTGGCAGCCGTGGTGTTGGGTGTTGCTCTTTATTTACTGTCCTGATTTTAGAGTTTTTAATTACCGGTAGCCAGATTTTGTTCATTTTCATGGTTTCTTCCTTTCTGTTGAAATTATCCACATGTTAGGTACATAACAACAAAACATTGCATTTGTTAAAATAAAATTCTCTTTGCAAGAACTGTAAATCAGACATCATAAGAAGGTGGACTCTAGAATAAACTTGGGGGAAAGGCTACCCTGGGGCCTGCAAGGCCATTATTTGTGGGTCCTGAAGTCTCTCTGCACTTCAATCTAAAATTTTAGTTGGTCTTACGTTTCACATATACCGTACCTTAAAAGTTTTGTTTGATCCTTATAACTGCTCAATCCTGCTAAAAATGCCCTATAATCAGCACAAAACAAAACCAATGTGTTTGTTTTTTTTGTCGTGTCAGGAGCGACCTGAGAAACTGCAAGTCACTTCTGGTGTGAGAGAATTGGCCGTCTGCAAGGACGTTGCCCAGGGGACACCCAGATGATTTGATGTTTTATCATCCTTGTGGGAGGCTTCTCTCATGTCCCCACATGAGGAGCTGGAGCTGATAGAGGGAGCTCATCCGCCTCTCCCCAGATTCGAACCCACTGCGCCACCGGGGGCTCCCAAAACCAATGGTGATGTGGCAATACTTCAAGGCATCCCAGTGCACCTCACTAGGACTTGAAGGGGTGGAAAAGTACCCCTGCTTGCTCTGCAGTTGTCCAGCTCAATCTTAGAGACTGTTAGCAATGCCCACTTGTTAGTTATCCAGTTTTATATAGGCGCCCCAGGTGGCACAGTGGGTTAAACCCTTGTGCCAGCAGGAGTGAAGACAAACAGGTCAGAGGTTCGAATCCGGAGAGAGCACGGATGAGCTCCCTCTGTCAGCTCCAGCTCCCCAATGTGGGGATATGAGAAGCCTCCCACAAGGATGATAAAACATCAAAACATCCGGACGTCCCCTGGGCAATGTCCTTGCAGACGGCCAATTCTCTCACACCAGAAAGGACTTGTGTCTGAAGTCTAAAGTTTTGCATACAAACAGATAAATCTAATAGTAGTGCCTTCTTCTATATTTGAATGTTCTGATATTCATGTTTTTTTCTGCCAGTTTTAATTACTGGTAATTACTTAATTTACTTACTTAAACCTAGTTCGAATAAAGAACAAAAAATGTAACTTGTTAAAAGAAAATTAGATTATTTTAAAAATCAACTTGATTTCCTACATGCATAACTCTTGTTATTAGTGAAATACTCAACTGTGTGCTCGTAAGTTTTCTCTTCTGGTTCTGTTACCAAATTGCAAACTCAGCACTGCAAATTCTACGGGAAGCTTAATGGGAAATTGGCCATGATGTAACTTTGCATACATGGGACTTAAAATAGCCTTGGCTTGTTGACGTAAAGTGGGGCTCTCTGAAATAAATAGAAGCCTCTTGCCCACCAAAAGTCCATTCGACAAGAATCCAAGGCTGATTTCCTTCCTGAAGAGAGGAGCTGACCACTAAAGCTGAAATGGGGTCTTGCCATCTTATCCTCGGGGTGCTGCTTCTTGTCTTTCACATCACAGTTGCAAGTAAGTACCATCTTGGGTTTGTCCTTTAGTGGCCCTTTCTCATTAACTTTGAATGGCATCTGTACCATTTTTGGGTTTAATTTTATTTGTCTTTCACCTTCTCTTCAGCCAACTCATAACATCTGAGATTAACAGCAACCCTGTAAGAGCCGCTTTGAGGGTATAAATATACATAATAAACATAATAATTATTGTATTGTCGAAGGCTTTTATGGCTGGAATCCATGGGTTGTTGTAGGTTTTTCCGGGCTATATGGCCATGTTCTGGAGGCAATTTTTCTCCTGACGTTTTGCCTGCATCTATGGCAAGCATCCTCAGAGGTAATGAGGTCTGTTGGAAGTAGGAAAAATGGGTTTATATATCTGTGGAATGACCATGAAAATGAACAAAATCTGGCTACCAGTATTAAAAAACTCAAAAATTACAGCAGCAAAACAACAGAGGGGAAACAAACAGGCACATGAAATCACTCTCAACAAAAGATTCCCCCCAGGCGCTTCCAAGCCATTGAATGCAAATCAAGGTGATCAGCTGAAACATTCACAGCTAGCCCCAGCAAACAAAAGTCCTTTGTCTCACCCTGGTCATTCCACAGATATATAAACCCATTTTTCCTAGTTCCAACAGACCTCATTACCTCTGAGGATGCTTGCCATAGATGCAGGCGAAACGTCAGGAGAAAAATTGCCTCCAGAACATGGCCATATAGCCTGGAAAAACCTACAACAACCCATAATAATTATTATTATAATAAGAAGAAAACAGGAAGAGATGGTAACTTGCCCAAAGCCACCTTTTGCTCTCCTTAGGTTGGCAAAAATCTCAACTCATTCCTACTTTCCAAGGCAATTCCATAGGGACAGAATGCAGCTTGGGAATTTCAAATAATTTGCTGAGTTAGCAAAGAAGGAAAAAACATCTGGCCTAGTAAAGGTCTGTTCATATTACAGAATTATAGCGTGATAATTCCACTTTTAACTGTCACGGTTTCAATTTTACGGAATCCTGGGATCTCACAACATTATTGTGTGCCTTCAATTCATTTCCAACTTATGGCAATTTCTTATTTATTTATTTACAACATTTTTACCCCGCTCTTCTCACCCCCGCAGGGGGACTCAGAGTGGCTAACAATGGCAACGATTCGATGCTGCAATAATTACAATTATAATAATAAGATAAAAACATACAATACAATAAATTAAAACAACATTAGTTAAACAATCATAAAGCCTTTTCCATTACAACAATCATATGGTCTGATTCAATGTTCAGAAGCCTTCAATTCATTTCCAACTTATAGCAACCTTAAGGCAAAGCTATCACAGGGATTTCTTGGCTGAATTTGTTAGGAAAGAGTGACTTTCCATTAATGGGTGGGCTTCAAATCCTAGTCTCCCAGGCCCCATCTAAACTGCCATTATAAAGCAGATTGAACTGCATTATATGGTCATACAATTCAGTTCAATACAGTTAAACTGCATTATATGAGTCTACACTGACTATATAATGTAGTTCAATCTGCATTATAACAGCAGTGTAGATGGGGCCCCAGTGTCCTAATCCAACACATAACATACTACAACACATAGTGTTGAGGGATCTATTGTTTCAATAAACAAAACAAAAATAAATCCAAGATTCCTTAGGATGTGCCTATGGCAATTAAAGTGGAATCATAGGGCCTACGGTTTGGGACCAGCCTACCTGTGTGATCGCATCTCCGTCTACGAACTCTCTTCGTTCATCTGGAGAGGCCCTGCTCGTGATCCCACCTGCGTTGCAAGCGCATTTGGTGGGGACACGAGACAGGGCCTTTTCCGTGGTGGCCCCCCAACTCTGGAACACCCTCCCCAAAGATCTTAGACAGGCCCCTACATTGGCAGTCTTCAGAAAGAACTTGAAGACCTGGCTGTTCCGATGTGCCTTCCCAGAATAGGAAATCTCCAATACCAAGTTCCATAAGCACTTTATTAGAACTAAGATTGCTGCACACCGCACACTGCACTTGCCCTATAAGCCTTATATACCACCTGTCACATCAGCACTTTTAATCCTGTACCCATTACTCTGGCCCGGCCCAGTTTTATTGTGTCTCAGTGTATTGTTTATTGCTTGTTGTTTATATTGCTTTAATTGTTTTAATTTACTTTAAGTGTATTGTTATGTTGTGTATTGAGGCCTTGGCCTTTGTAAGCCACATCGAGTCCTTCGGGAGGTGCTAGCGGGGTACAATTAATAATAATAATAATAATAGCGCTCTTACTCCACCTTAACTGTCCATGGCACCATTCTCTAGAATTCTGGAGTTTGTAGTTTTGGAAGGCTATAATGCAATCTGGTTTAGAACACTACGGTAAATGCCTTCTCCTATACTACCCATTCTAGGATTCAATATTATGTTGCCATTGCATTTTTGGAGGAAGTAACCTTCTTAAGCCTCCTCTTGTTTTATAATGTGCTGTTTTATAATGTGCTGTTTTATAACCTGGAGTATATGTCTTATTTTATTTGAAGTTTCCTTATCTCTATATACCTAAAGCAGTGGGAGGGGCTGCAGGTCAAGTGACTAACCCAGTGACAGTCAAGATGTCCAATTTTAAACAGGGTGATAGCTGGGGAATGTTAGTTGAGGAATGACTGTTAGAGTAGCCAGTGTTGAGCCTTGACTGAGCTTGAGTGTAGAAGTCCGTCATAGTGCAGAAGCTCATGTTAGAAACTGTTGAGGCTTGTGTTTTATTTGAAAGCAAACTCTTATTAAAGGAGCTGTATAAAGCAACATAGTTTATGAAGAAACTGTTACAAGATACAAACTCTCTGAAATGTTACAGAAGTTTTTAACCCTTGACAAGAAATGTATCTTTAAATACACAAAGTTATCAGTAAACAAATTAAAACATTTACATGCCCAACAATCATTCATTACAAAATAAACTTTGCTACCCCGATTGGGGTAATAATTGTGGGCACCACAACTGAAGAGAGATATTGACAAGCTGGAAAATGTCCAGAGGAGGGTGACTAAAATGATCAAGGGTCTGGAGAACAAACCCTATGAGGAGCAGCTTAAAGAGCTGGGCATGTTTAGCCTGAAGAAGAGAAGGCTGAGAAGGGACATGATAGCCATGTATAAATATGTGAGATGAAGTCACAGGGAGGAGGGAGCAAGCTTGTTTTCTGCTGCCCTGGAGACTAGGACACGGAACAATGGCTTCAAACTACAAGAAAGGAGATTCCATCTGAACATTAGGAAGAATTGTGAGAGCAGTTTAGCAGTGGAACTCTCTGCCCCGGAGTGTGGTGGAGGCTCCTTCTTTGGAAGCTTCTAAACAGAGGCTGGATGGCCATCTGTCAGGGGTGCTTTGAATGCAATTTTCCTGCTTCTTGGCAGGGGGTTGGACTGGATGGCCCATGAGGTCTCTTCCAACTCTATGATTCTATAACTAGGTAGTGTGAAAGGGCCTTTACTCTTGCACTAAGGTGGAAGGTATTGGCCAACACCAACTAGCCATGGGAGCATAAACCAGGTAAAAAATCCTAGAAATCTCAACCTATCATCATCTGAAGTTCCTCACCCTGTTCCTTACCGTAGGTTGATTGACAATGTCCCTAGATATACTCATACATAAGTCTCAAAGTCCCTAGATATACTAAATATGATGGTGGTGGTGGTGATGTACTATACCTTAACTCTTCTCAAATAAGGAACCATCTGCTTCTCTGAGTAGTGTGTTGCAGCTGTTGTCTTGGTGAAGTCTCATTCTACAGGATATCAGAGTTAATGGCTGAGGAGAGGATAGTGAGTCAGTCTCTTCTTTATATCAATGAATTTTGAGAAGTTGGCAGTGTCATCTGGATGTTGATGTCTCTGAGCTTCTTCCTCCATGTGATGATGCAACGTCTCCATTTGGCGTCCTGTTTGGCTGAATGTGACCTACTGCCTGCATTCAGATTAGCAGCCTGGTAGAAACACATGAACTTCCCCAAAGTGGGTCAGTTCATTGTGGGTGGAAAAAACATCCGGATATATATTTTAATAAATCTCAAGCCTGAGATGGAATTTCCACATTCTAATTCTGCACTCTTAGTGGCAAGTTACAAGTGGAAATTATGCTGGGGAAAGTGGAAGGCAAAAGGAAGAGGGGCCGACCAAGGGCAAGATGGATGGATGGCATCCTTGAAGTGACTGGACTGACCTTGAAGGAGCTGGGGGTGGTGACGGCCGACAGGGAGATCCCGGGGCAGACTAAGCACTACTACAGTGTTTCTCAACCTGGGGTCGGGACCCGGGGGGGGGGTCGCAATGGGGTTTCAGAGGGGTCACCAAAGACCATCAGAAAACACATTTCTGATGGTGTTAGAAATCCCTTTGGCATAATCATTTGGGTGCACAGTGCTTTGTGGATGTAGGTGAACTACATTTCCCCTAAATCACTGTCAATTCATCCCAAATCCCTCCAGTATTTTCTGTTGGTCATGGGGGTTCTGTGTGGGAAGTTTGGCCCAATTCTATCATTGGTGGGGTTCAGAATGCTCTTTGATTGTAGGTAAACTATAAATCCCAGCAACTACAACTCCCAAATGTCAAGGTCTATTTTCCCCAAACTCCACCAGGGTTCACATTTGGGCATATTGAGTGTCTGTGCCAAGTTTGGTCCAGATCCATCATTGTTTGAGTCCACAGTGCTCTCTGGATGTAAGTGAACTACAACTCCAAAACTCAAGGACAATGCCCACAAAGCCTTCTAGTATTTTCTGTTGGTAGTGGGAGTTCTGTGTGCCAAGTTTGGTTCAATTCCATTGTTGATGGAGTTCAAAATGCTCTTTTGATTGTAGGTGAACTATAAATCCCAGCAACTACAACTCCCAAATAACAAAATAATTATCACCCCCCAACCCCACCAGTATTCAAATTTGGGCATATCGGGTATTTGTGCCAAATTTGGTCCAGTGAATGAAAATACATCCTGCATATCAGATATTTACATTACAATTCATAGCAGTACGAAAATTAGTTATGAAAGTAGCAAGGAAAATAATTTTATGGTTGGGGGTCACCACAACATAAGAAACTGTATTAAGGGGTCATGGCAAAAAGAAGGTTGAGAACCACTGCTCTACTAGATAAAAGTCTTTCTTTGATAAGAGTTAAGGTATAGTACTAATACTGACCTTGTGGATAAGTCAACCCAAGGTTTTTTTAGGTCAGTTTCTAATACTGAAAGAAGAACAGGTAGTCCCCGGGTTACAAATATCTGACTTACAAACAACTCATATTTAAGAACAGAGGTGGGACAACAGGAAGTAAGAGAGATCTACCCCTCAGAAGGGAAATTCACTCCTGAAGCTTCCTCACCAATCCTTGTTTCCACAAGACGTCACATTTTTTGAAATGCAAGGATCAGAGGGACAGAAAGTGAGGTGAATCTTCTGAATAGGGGCACAGACAACAAAACACCACAGGGATGTTAACCCTTCCCTATGCTATCCAAAGCGTGATTATCTATCTATCTATCTATCTATCTATCTATCTATCTATCTATCTATCTATCTATCTATCTATCTATCCATCCATCCATCCATCCATCCATCCATCTATCTAATCTGGAGTTACACTTCCTAATGGACCTGTTCCGACTTACATACAGAATAAGAGAAACCTACAGAAGCTATCCAGTTCAAAACTTTGGGACTACCTGTATATATAGTAACTATAAGTCTCCTGCAGATGAATAAATTGCATTTGTCCCTTGGAATTACCAGGGCTGAACAGCAAAAAAGGCACTTTGCAGTAGCTGCATAATCATTTTTATCATGACACTGAATTATAAAATTAGTCCTCTGCATTTGGTTGTGTTAGGGGTGCAAAAGCCACGAATAAACAAAAATCTGAGAGAATACCTCTCTGGAATCTCTAGGTCCTCCAGTGGAGAAACTCCACTGGAGTTTGTCCATAAAAATGCACTGGAGGACCTAGAGATTCGTAGAGTGACCCTATTAATCATATTCACAAATGTCAGATCTGCAAATGTGAAGGGCTTGAAGTGTCTCATCAATTTCTGGCTCCTGCAGGTATCTTTGACTCAACAGTGAATGAATCCTGCAAGTGTTTAAGAGTGAGGTCCGAATTAATCAATCCTGCAAAATTTGCAAGAGTTGAAATCCTTCCTGCTGGAATCATCTGCCCAAGGATGGAAATAATGTAAGTGCCACCCCAATCCTCACTATTTTTGTTTTGTGGCTTCCTTTGGAGGAAGAGTTGGAAAGTGGCTCCATTTGATTCACAAATATTCAAATTAGGGTTAAGATATTTTGCCCAAGAATAGATGGGAAACCACTGTAATAGCAACTTGGCTAAGCCACCTATATATCCTACCCTATATCCAAAGATCTTGGGGTTATAATTTATGATTTAGAAAAATGATCAACAATAACTATAATTTTAAAAGCACTGCTAAACTCTGCATTTCCAATTAGGAAAAAAACAGCAGATTATCCATCCCATCCAATCAGAATTCTCCTTCTTGTATTTCTTGTTGAACCTGAGTTTTCCTGCTTTTGATGTGGGCAAAGTGATCCTTTCAAATCTTCTTGTTTCACAGAATCACACTGAAGAAAGGAAATAGAAAAGTGTGCATCAATCCTGAATCTAAATGGGTACAGGTTTTAGTGAAGCTGATGCAAAACACGTAAGTCCTGACATAATGTCTGTTCCCCACTTCTGGTCCATCTAGCCTGCCCAATCAATATTATCCAATTTAGGAGGAGTGAGGGATTCTTGTCTCTCCAGATGTTTTGCCTTTATTTACCAGTACAGCCAATGCTAAGATATTCCTTGAATTTTAGTCCAAAAGTTTCTCCAACCAAAGTCCAGCTTGTTGAGATGATGGCTTGTGACTTCCATATCAAGAGGACAATGAATCCGCTTTGGGTTTTAGTCCAAAGTGCAAAGCAGGAGTGGGCAAAGTATGGACCACACTGTTGCACCCCAGGTTTGGAAACCCCTATGACCACAGCACTACACAAGAGTCCAGCTTATAAGCAAACCGTTTATTGCAAAAACACATAAAATAGATGAAAAAGCAGGAATAAGGAAAGAAGATATATAATCAAAAATGAGTTAGCAATAGGTGATAACCAGAAAGTAATCCAAATGTCTTGTCGAAGGCTTTCATGGCCGGAATCACTGAATCAAAGAAATGATGACTCTCTCTGGGGAAAAAAGAACCTGATTCAGAAAATGCAAGGCTCCAAGGTCAGAAAGAGGAGCCAGAAACTGTAACATTAGATAAGAAGTTGAGCGAAGAGCTAAGGATCCTGGGGAAAACCATCTAGAGCTATGGATTGGGTTGTTGTAGGTTTTTTCGGGCTATATGGCCATGTTCTAGAGCAGGGGTCCTCAAACTAAGGCCCAGGGGCCGGATACGGCCCTCCAAGGTCATTTACCCGGCCCTCGCTCAGGGTCAACCTAAGTCTGAAATGACTTGAAAGCACAACAACAACAACAATCCTATCTCATCAGCCAAAAGCAGGCCTACACTTCCCATTGAAATACTAATAAGTTTATATTTGTTAAAATTGTTCTTCATTTTAATTATTGTATTTTTAAGTGTTTGCACTACAAATAAGATATGTGCAGTGTGCATAGGAATTCATTCATGTTTTTTTCCAAATTATAATCCGGCCCTCCAACAGTTTGAGGGACTGTGACCTGGCCCTCTGTTTAAAACGTTTGTGGACCCCTACTCTACTAGAATTCTCTGTGTGAAACATTCACACCTAGCTCCAGCAGACAAGAGTCCTTTGTCCCACCCTGGTCATTCCACAGATATATAAACCCTTTTTCCTAGTTCCAACAGATCTCACTACCTCTGAGGATGCTTGCCATAGATGCAGGTGAAACGTCAGGAGAGAATGCCTCTAGAACATGGCCATATAGCCCCGAAAAAACCTACAACAACCCAGATTTTGATAAACTTAGCTCTTTGCTCAACTCCTTATCTAATGTTGCAGTTTCTCGCTCCTCTTCCTGACCTTGGAGCCTTGCACTTTCTGAATCAGGTTCTTTTTTCCCCAGAGAGAGCCATCATTTCTTTGATTTGAATTTTCATCACTTTGTGCCCCAGGAAATCCCACAATTCTCTCTAAACCATCAGTGAACTCACCAGCCTCAGGTTGTACTACAATACACACAAAGTCCCCCAGGATTAGTTTTGTAGGCTTCTTGGGCACCTAGGGTCCAGAAATTAATTCCCTAAATGTATGTGTAGCATTTTCCTCAACCTTGGATATTTTATAACCAAGATAAGGCTTTATTTTTAATGTGTATATGCACCAGATGAACTCAATTGTAAATACTATGATTAAAAGCTTAAACAAACAAACAAATAAGAACAAAGCCTAAAATGTCCTCCCATATCCCCTTCTCATGGTGGGGAAATTATTCTATTTTGCTTTTTTGGGAAATACAGTGGGTGATGCAGCTCTCCAAACTCACCTGGCAGTTAATGCAGCCCCTGCTGTCCCACAATTGCCCACTTTTGCCTTAAAGGACCTTTCCAAGGCACAAAAAAAATTGGCTTTCCAGATAGAATTCAGCACTTTGGAGAACAACTTACAAGCCAACAGCTGCCTCTGCTTGACTACTACTTTTAAAGCTTTCTGTCAGCTACTAGAAGGAGACATGATTAATAAGAACCATTTGAAATATCATAGCATTATAATTCTACAGTGTGGCTGGACCTCTGATCCCAGTCCAAAGCAGATAGTGTATGGATTCTACAATAGTCTCTTCTTGCAATCACAAATTGGGTTAAGTTCATAACAGCTGACTGTGGGTTAAGGGAAGATAGATCTCTGAGGTCTCTCTTATGTGTCACTATAGCGCAATAGGTTAAACTGCTAAGCTATAGAACTTGCTGACCAGAAGATTGGTGGTTCAAATCTGTGGGACAGGGTGAGTTCCTGTTGTTAGTCCCAGCTTCTGCCAACCTAGCAGTTCAAAAACATGCAAATGTGAGTAGATCAATAGGTACTACTCTGTGGAAGGTAACGGCACTCCATGCAGTCATGCTGGCCACATGACCCTGGAGGTGTCTATGGACAATGCCAGCTCTTCGGCTTAGAAATGGAGATGAGCACCACCCCCCAGAGTCAGACATGACACTAAACTTAATGTCAAGGGGAAACCTTTGCTATAGTTTATCTTGCTTTTTATTTTTCTTACAGGAATGAAACTTCCCCTTGAAATGTACCAAAGTCTGAAATGTTCCAGGAGAGAGAAGAACAGATAACGCACAAATCCTAGATGCAATTTCTTTCTAGCTTCCTGCTTTCTGCATTCATTCTGCCTCCAGAAAGACCAATGCTAATGTTTTTGTAATTAACTCAGCATGCATTAAAATCCAGTTGGGTTGTGTTAGCCCTGTTGAAATTCTTCAATTCCTGTAGCATATTCTTGTAAGTCCGTGTCCAAGACATTTCTCATCCTAGGCTCAATCATGAAACAGTTTCCCATAGTAGGGCTGCAAAAGCATCTGCCTGCCTCTTTTGTGTGTGTGTGTGTCAGGAGCGACTTGAGAAACTGCAAGTTGCTTCTAGTGTGAGAGAATTGGCCGTCTGCAAGGACGTTGCCCAGGGGACGCCCGGATGATTTGATGTTTTATCATCCTGGTGGGAGGCTTCTCTCATGTCCCCGCATGAGGAGCTGGAGCTGATAGAGGGAGCTCATCCGCCTCTCCCCGGATTCGAACCTGCGACCTGTCGGTCTTCAGTCCTGCCGGCACAGGGGTTTAACCCACTGCGCCACCTGAAATTGTGGAATTAGTATTGCAAAGAGTTTCCTCAACTCGCAGCCTGCTCTTCTCACATATGCTACTAGGAACTTTCTAGTGAACCATGTGTCTCATGATACTTCCAAAATATGACAGTAAATAAACATAGATCTTCAATTTCCCTTCCCAGAATTCCTACTGGTTGTGCTCGGGGAAACTGTTTTGCATTCACTTGAATGAGACAAACAGTTGCTTTATAGAAGAAATATTAAAAATCTATTGCAAATACAGGATTGAAAATATATAAATCAGTGAAGAATAATATATTTAATAACTGGCAGCTTTTTAAAAATGTGTGCTTTAGCTGGCTCTTAAATTCTTGCTGGGAAACCTTTTGAAATGTGAATGAACCAAATGTGATACAAGATTGTTTCTTTTTGTAAGTTTTTTTGCTATAGAATTGAACAATAAAATGATCTTTTTTCATTTAAATATGTGCTTTTCTGGATTTATTTTGGTAATTGGAGAGATGTACATTCTCACCAATTTCCTACTCAGGGGCAATAACAAGCAATGTGTCTTAAGCAATAATGAGCAATGTAACTATTTTTTACTATAGAGTTATTTGGAGGTATTCCTTGTTGTCCCTAATATCTCTCATATCTTGTTCTGTAATTTGTAACTCTGGGTTGTTATGAGTTTTTTGGGCTGTATGGCCATGTTCCAGAAGCATTCTCTCCTGACGTTTCGCCTGCATCTATGGCAGGCATCCTCAGAGGTTGTGAGAATTGAGAATGCTTCTGGAACGTGGCCATACAGCCCGAAAAACTTACAACAACCCAGTGATTCCGGCCATGAAAGCCTTCAACAATACATTTATAATTCCATTTCCTACATACTTTTCAAGTCCCATATAAGTGGTGTCGTACACCCTGTAAATTCACGTGCTATTATAAAAAAGGGAGCAGTCAGTCCTGGTATGGATGTCAACAGAAAGGACGGTTTATGCACATGATGTGGAAATGCAAACAGGTACAATACTTCTGGCAGACAATACAAAATGTGTCAAACCAAATATTAGGAATTAAAACAAAAGAAATTGCGGTCTTAGTACAAAGAGGGGGAATGGGAAATTACAGGGAAAGAAAGGAAACAACAACCGAGTGGGTTGTTTTAGGTTTTTCCGGGCTATATGGACATGTTCTAGAGGCATTTTCTCCCTCTAGAACATGGCCATATAGCCCGGAAAAACCTACAATAACCCAGTGATTCCGGCCATGAAAGCCTTCGACAATACAACAACTGAGTACACACAAGCTGTGATAGTATTGGGATGGAAAGACAAATCAAAGTGGACAGTAAGTAAATGGTACCAGTATATGGTGGACCAAAAGGAATTTGAAATTATGGATGTAAAATTAAATGATGCATAAGGTAATGAAAATAGAATGCGGAAGTTGAAGAAAGATGGAACTGGGTCAAGAATTATATTATGAATAAGTCCAGAAATCAGGATACAAATGTTATACAGTATGTAAGTCTAGAAGGATTGTCTTAAAAAAGATTAATATGTAAAAGAAAATAATCCTCATGGTGGTGGTGGGAATTGTAAATGTGTATGTGTATAAATATATTTTTAAAAGAGTTATTAGGAGGTATATTGCAGTTCAGCATTTAGTTGCAAAAGCCACACACGCATTTGGCACAGCATTTTCTGTGCAGAAACATTGCCATTTTCTTCTCAAAACACCCACCCATTCATTTTTTCACACATAGCACATGACACATGTCTTTGCAGTTTATTGAAAGGGTCCTCAGTACCTCTCTTACTTAGCTCCTGTGTAAAGTTTACACAATGTCAACTGTGATGTAGCATTGTGATCAACGTCCTTGCTTTGTACCTGGATATAGTCACAAAGCCAAATGCTTTCCCTCCATCCTCTGTTTTCCACTTGCCTCTATTTGACTGGGAACGTGAGTCCTAAATGGAGCAGGGAGACATTTTGTAGTTCCACTATAGTTAGATTTTGCAATACATCTGCTGGCACGGGATGATGGACAAGGCCTGCATCCATGTGCTTTGCTCGATTCCTCTTTTGTTTTGCTCAATTGCATTCAGATCTCACAATTTACATGGTTCTCTTTTTTGAAAGCAGAACATTTATCTGACCAAATATCTGACCAAACTTAAGCCATCCTCCTTAACAATGGTCTTTATTGAATTCTGGTTTCTAAATAATGCCTACTGCATAGACATCGGTGCCATTGGATCACAAAATACCCATGAAATCATGATTTAGTTGTCAACCCCCCCCCCCCATTAATTAATAAAATTGCAGTTTTGTTAATCTGAGATAATATTTCTCTAGGAATCAGTGTTTCTCAGCTTTCCTAATGCCGCGACCCCTTAATACAGTTCTTCATGTTGTGGTGACCCCCAACCATAAAATTATTTTTGTTGCTACTTCATAACTGTAATTTTGCTACTGTTATGAATTGTAATGTAAATATCTGATATGCAGGATGTATTTTCATTCACTGGACCAAATTTGGCACAAATACCTGATACGCCCAAATTTGAATACTGGTGGGGTTGATTTTGTCATTTGGGAGTTGTAGTTGCTGGGATTTATAGTTCACCTACAATCAAAGAGCATTCTAAACTCCACCAATAATGGAATTGAACCAATCCTGGCACACAAAACTCCCCTGACCAACAGAAAGTACTGGAAAGGTTTGATGGGCATTGACCTTGAGTTTTGGAGTTGTAGTTCACCTACATCCAGAGAGCACTGTGGACTCAAACAATGATGATCTGGACCAAACTTGGCACGAATACTCAATATGCCCAAATGTGAACACTGGTGGAGTTTGGAGAAAATAGACCTTGACATTTGGGAGTTGTAGTTTCTGGGATTTATAATTCACCTACAATCAAAGTGCATTCTGAAACCCACCAATAAGATAATTGGGCCAAACTTCCCAGACAGAACCCGCATGAGAAACAGAAAATACTGTGTTTTCTTTGGAGACCTCTTTGACACCCTCCTCATCACCTCCCCTTCAGGGATCCCGAACCCCAGAGACGCTGCTCTATATAATCACATTATTCCAGAAGTTAACAAAAGGATATCACTGGAGGATCTTGAGAGGTGTTTTCTTAGGAATTTCTAGACCCCCAGAAATGAGTGGAAGTTAACCATAGTGTCATACTGGTTGGCTGTTAGGTATTGTGGGAGTTGGAGTCCAAAACACCTGGAGGGCCAAAGTTTGCCCATGCCTGGCATAGACTCTACCTGTAAATAGAGCAGGAAGAGATCCGTGAGCAGAAACGTCCAACTTCTAATCACATCTACCCACCACTGCTGCCTTGTTTATCTCCCAGAAGTAATACATTTTCATTAAGCTGTATGAGAAAAGCACACACACAAGACATGTTATCCTTTCCCTTGTGACTAGAAGGAAGTCACTTCGGTTCAAGTTGCAAGCTCTGCAAATGAAATTTGAAATTTGCAAATGAAATTTGAAAGTAACATACCCTGGCCAACTGTTAAGGAAAAACCCCATATGCATTTCATATCAAGTTTATTGCTTTGCAAGTTCATGCGCCTTCCAGACTGTAACCAAGGAGAAAAGGAGAATTGTCCCCTTGCTTCACTTTCTCTTTCATACACTCTCAGTTTCTGGAACACACCTATTCCTCATATCATGAGTTCCCCTCCGTGTTGTCTCATTCAAAAGTTCAATATGCTACAATTTGTGTAACTTTCTAGTTACTGAAAAACACAAGAAGAACCATGCTGGGTCAGACCAAATGTCTATCTCAGGGGTGTCAAATTCATTTTCATCGAGGACCACATCAGCCTTATGGTTGCCTTCAAAGGACTATTGAATCCATGGATGGAGAATCCATGGATCCAAAGGGTCTATTATAATGTTTTTCTATCATACGCAGTGCTCTTTAGTTTTTACCCAATCGGGGTCCCCAGATGTTACTGAATGGCAATTCCCATCACTTTTGATTAGCTGCCATACAGACTGGGGATAATGGGAATTGCAGTCCAATGACTCTTGTGACTGTGAGGTTGGGAAAAGGTTAAATAATATTTTGAAGTCAGACATCCTAGCCGTCAGCCTTGTATCTAAATCCAATTATCACTATCCTGACTAAACAGAACAAACTGCAGCCTTCCAGATGCTAGTGTATCACACCTCCCATCAGCTCTAGTCATAATGTTTAATAATAGGGAATATAGCATCTGGAGGGCCACATAAAATGACATGGAGGGCCAGATTTGCCCCACCAATCTTGAGTTTCAGAAATGTGCTCTATCTAGTCCAAACATGTTCTCCACACAGTTGCCCAAAAGATAAGCCCATCAACAGGATGCAATTGCATTGAGACCCTCCATTCTGCACTACAAGGCAAAATATATACAGTGTGTCTGCTGCGGTTCATTTCTAGGACCACCACCATAGATACCAAAATACATGGATGGCTGAAGTCTAATTGGCATAGTAAAATGGTGTCTATAATATAAAGTAGTAAAAAGATTTGTTTTGTGGGAAAACATGGATGTTTGAATCTATGGATGAAGAATCCATGGATACGAAAGGCTGACTGTACCAAGGTACAATGGAAATAGTTATTGAGTAGTAGAATCATAGATCTTAGAAGCTTATCACACAAGGTAGACAAATTGCAATTATAGCAAGACAATAGTCCCTCTGGTTGGGATGTATCACATAATGTTGCTCCTCTCCATCTGCTTTTCCAATAGGAGACAGCTTAGAAAGCATTTCTTTTACAAACCCAAATCATCCATTAGTCATAGCATCATAGATCTGGAAGAGACCTCGTAGGCCATCCAGTCCAAC